ACTTGTGGGCAAATGAGTAGGGAGAAATATAAGAGGATTACTCAGGCATAAAGGGATGAAATCAGGAAGGCCAAAGCCCAGTTGGAGTTGCAGCTAGTAAGGGACATGAAGGATAACAAGAAGAGTTTTCACAAGTATGTCAGCAAAACGAGGAAGATCAGGGAAAATGTGGGTCCCTTACTGAATGGGGGAGGCAACCTAGTGACAAAGGATGCAATAAAGGATGAAGTAGTCAATGCCTTTTTTATCTCAGTCTTCACAGGCACGGTCAGCTGGCAGCACAGTTTGGGGAAGAGGTGAGTACCCAGCAGTGGCAAAAGAACAGGCTATAGAATATTTAGAAAAGCTGGATGTGCACAAGTCCATGGGGCTGGATGCGATGCGCCCAAGGGTGCTGAGGACTGAATTGATTGCAGAGCCGCTGGCCATTCTTGGAAAACTCATGGTGATTAGAAAAGGTCTGTAATGATTCAAAAAGGGCAAGCATAGTGCCCATCTTTAATCTGAGGAACTGTAGACTGGTGAGTCTCACCTTGGTTCCTGGAACAGTCATACAGTAGGTCCTCAAGGAATCCATTTCTAAGCACTTGCAGGAGAAGGTGATTAGGAACAGTCAGCATGGATTCGCCGAGGGCAAGTCATGCCTGACCAACCTGATTGCCTTCTATGATGAGATGACTGGCTCTGTGGATGTGGGGAGAGCAGTGGATGTGATATACCGTGACAAACTGGAGAGTCCAGTGGATGGCAACAAAAATGGTTAGGGAGCTGGGGAACATGACTTATGGGGATAGGCTGGGAGAACTGAGCTAATTTAGTGTGGAGAGGAGAAGATGAGAGGAGATTTAATAGCAACCTTCAACTCCCTGAAGGGGGGTTCCAAAGAGGATGGGGATAAACTGCTCTTAGTGGTGGCAAATGACAGAAGAAGAAGCAATGGTCTCAGGTTGCAGCAAGGGAAGTTTAGGTTAGATATTAACAAACATTTTCTCATAAGGAGGGTAGTAAAGCACTGGAACAGGCTACCCAGTGAGGTTGCGGTATCTTTATCCCTATAGGTTTTTAAGACCCGGCTAGACAAAGCCTTGGCAGGGATGACATAGTTGGGGGTGGCCATGCTTTGAGCAGGGGGTTGGATTAGATGACCTCCTGAGGTCCCTTCCAACCCTAATTTTATATGATTATATTAAAAATGTCCTACAAAATATTTCTGCACATGCTTAACTTCAGTGCCATAAATAGGTGGGGGTGTCTACTCAATTTAAGATTTCATTGTTTCTGTGAAATCCAGGATTGTCTGTGAAAACTATGAAATCCAGGATTGTCCATGAAATCAACTTTAAAAAAAAAACTTAATAAAAATAAAATGCTGGCTTCCAGTGGGAGCTATCAATCCTTGCTGCTGCTTTGGTTTGGCCTTGTGGCCCACCCAGGGGAGGCAGGGGGAGACTCTGGCTAGTGGAACAACATGAAGGGCAGTAGATAAGATGGTGGCTGCCTCCTCATCCCTCCTCTCCCCACCAGAGCCTTTCTGGCAATTAGCATTGAGGGATGGGGCTGCACAAAAGGCAGCCAGCAGGTAAGATGGCTGCTGTCCCCTCATCCTTCCTCCTCTACCGTGGTCTCTCTTTCAGTTAGCACCATGGGGCAGGGCTAGCGGAGCATATCTGGGAAATAGCTGCAGAATTTCCTTTTTATGCTGACTAACCCACAAAAATTGTTTATTCTCACCATGATTTAAGTAGGTCCCTATGAATAACCTCCATTAAGACTACAGACAATAATTAGACTTAAACATGAGCCTACAACCTCTATTCTGCCAACATGTAATTATCTGGATACGAGGTGGAGCCAAGATCTACAAACATCTCAGGTTTTCTGGAATAGAGGGGCATTTTAGGTTGATGTCCCAGTGTCCCCAAGGATTCTCTGAAACAAGATGTTAGACCTGAATGTGAATATTTGATTTGGGATAGATGCCAAGGAGGTAGCACTCCCTGAGCAGAAGCAGTATGGCAACATGTATATGGTGTTGTGTCTGGACTAATTAGCTCTGCCTCCTGATAGGACATATCCACTCTTAAGTACACACTGCTGAGGAGGAAGCCTTACTTTCTTCTCCCTCCCTGAATATTTGGACATCTGGGCTGCCCTTGTTTGGAGTGATACTTTTTGTGTTTTGCCCTAATCTATCCCTTCCTGCTCACTAAAGTGGGAACTAATGCTACAAAGGGAAGGGAACATAGGTTTGTCATAATCAGTGACTGGAGAGGAAGATGGCAATATGGAAGCTCTCCAGTTAAAGAAACAAGCCTAAACAAAGCTATAATTGACAGGTAACTGTTTAGCTGTCCTTAAGTAGCAGCTTCATTTTTTACTGATAATCTGCAAACTTTTTACAGACAACCACATTTTGGATTTTAACATCAACCATAATAAAAAAAAAGTTTCGTTGTCCATAAAAAGCTTGCAGATGATCAGTAAAAAATAATAATAAAAATCTTGAGTTGGCAACCCTGACTGACTGCTACAATGGTTTTGCATACTTTTGCCCCCACCCCAAGGGTTCCCTACTCACTTCTCCACCTGGATGCCCTCAACTGCACTAGTACCATGCTGGCCTCCTCAGCCTTGCCTGCCTACAGCCACACTGATTCCCATCCTGGCATGTTTTGCCTCCAGCTTCTCTCTGACCAGGGATCAGTTATCAAGTTTTTGTTTTTTTTAACAGGTGGCTTCATTTTTTTTTTTTTTTTTACATACTATATAAACAAGCATTTTAGCTTTGTTTTTATAGACTGTCTGTAAATTTACAGACAGTTGTAAACCTGCTGCTTCATCACCAAATCTTCCAGTCTCTTCCAATTACTAATTCTTCAGCAATAAACATTATTCCACTCTTCAGGTTGACTTTGTCTGATCATCAAGGAATTAATGAACAGCCTATAAAATCACCTTACAAGGGTCAAAACAAAAACTACTCCCAAACTTGGGATATTTGAAATAGAAACCTGAATCCAGGGATATTGGTTGTAGCAATGTTGGTCTAAAGGCATCGGTAGACAAAACCGTTGAGGTAGAAGTGATATATTTTATTAGACCAACTAAAATAGGTGATTTTTTCCCCCTGTTGCTTTTATTTTTCCTTTCCTTTTTTAAAATGAAAACTTTACAACAGAGTAAGGAAAAAGCAAAATTCAATGCCCTGCCTGCCATATGACACCTTCAGGTAACCAGCCTGCTTCAGCCTTTGTCTGTGCTAAATTTGCATACTCAGAGTATCTTTCTTACAAGTCACTTTTACACTCAAGGGAACCCTGCCATCTCTCAGTTCCCCTGTGCAAAATGAAGTTTCTTTTCCACCTGGAGGAACTTTTTCAATCTTTGAATTCTCCTTTGCCTGAAGAAGGGCTTTTGGGCCTGAAAGTTTGGAAAGAAAAAAAAAATGCACCTATTTTAGTTGGTCTAATAGAAGATATCACCTCTACCCCAAGAGTTTTGTCTACCTAAACCTGAATCCAGACCTGAATTTCTTTGATAAACCCAAATCCAAATACCTGTGAGCTCTTGGTAGAAAAGGATGCTAAGGACTTGGATCTGACTTCTGTTGGTTAGGTCCATTTGTAGATTAGTCCCAGTCCCAGAAAACCTGTCTCCTAAACATGGTTTGGCCAGCAGATGTGGCTAGGAGAAAACTGTGTTTGCCTACTGTGGAACATAATCCTTAACATACTGCTGACATAGTTTGACTGCACAGGTAAGGATGCAAGAATGCTTGGAAACCTTTCAAAAGGGGAACATTTCATAAGGGGAGAAGCTGGTACATCCTAACTGTTATGTGTGAACAAGCTGAGAACAATTCAAATGCAGCAAATTTGGCTCCAACTTCAAGCCTGGATGAAGGAATGTTAACCATTAGAATGTACCAGCAGCTGCTTTTTGAAATGTTTCTCTTTTGAAGGGCTGGAAGTGCTGGTGTGCCCGCACCCTAGACTTCTAGATGAGATTGTTATTTAGCAACATAGTTATAATGCTAGAGCTAAACAATTTCATTTCATGGATTCAGCTTTTTTTTCCTTATTGTAAAGTGCCCATGAGTGGTTTTCCAGTTTCTCAAATATATCCATTGTCTAAAAGGATTAATAGGTTCAGACAGAAGTGACAATTTTTGCCTGATCTGGCCACAGAAGGCAGCTTATAGCTGTGACCAAACAAAAGTTAACGGCAGAAAACAGCTTAAAAATGGCTAATGGTGTGAAAAGCTGACTCCTCGTTGCATGAAGTATCAGATAAAGAGGTTACAAAATGTAGTCTTTTGTAACTTGTGTCTGCAGAGCTCCCATCCTGTTGCTCTTTTCGCGTGGTTGGGAGGCAGCATCTCACTACCTAGGTTGACTGAGAGGAATGTCCATGTGGCCCCATGTTTCCTAGGATGACCGGGAGCAATTTGCTCCTGGCCAGTATCTACACATGCACTTTGGTGCATTAGTTTGATGTGCCAATTTCTAGTACCTTTATCTATAGGTACTAGAAGATGGCACAATAGACTAATCTACTGTGCAGTAATTGCTGTTCACGTCTAGATAGTGATGCTTTACCACACATTAGAGTAGTCTAATGTGCAGTAAAGCATCTCATGTAGGTGCACCCACGGAATACTAATATTAACCTGGCCTGACTTTTTGCCAAGTGGCTCAATTTATGGCCACCTAAGCAGCAACAGAGCTGAACTAAACCCTCAGATAGAGAGCTATTCAAATAGTAAACTAGAACCTGATTTCTGCAAAAAATGTCTACCTTTATAATGGGTTAAGCCAAAGCTGACAGCTAACGTTCCTCTCTGTTGCTGAACTTTCTCCCTTTGTTGAACCATGACTGAGTATAAAGGACTGCTGCTCCATTATAGATGGCCCCCTAATTTTTTAGAAGCCTGAAGACATTTAACAGTGAATGTACACTAGGAGGAAATAAATGAAAAAGGCTGAGTTGCCACACCTTACCTTGGGGTCATGTATTCCAGAAAGCTCTTCATAGATTTTCTCTCCTACCATGACAGCTGCCAGGTTAGCCGTGTAGGTTGACAAACAGAACAAACAAAAAATAGCCCAGAGATTCATTAAAAACCTTCCCGTCCAGCACTTGGGAGGTTTGATGGCAGATGTTCTGCCAAACAATATTGCATAACAAACATTCAGGGCAGAGGAAAAGGAGAACACTTTATTTCTATTTCTTCCCTTAGGGGTCATCCCAAAGGGGCTTTTCCATTCGTATAAGGTGAGGAATATTGCTGTGATGTGGAGAGCGACAAATATTCCCAGCCACATGGTCCAGTGGAGTGGCCACATAAAGGCTCCAATGGGGGCTGCTGTGTCTCTAGTCCTCACTAGGATGCCCAAGCTGGTTGAAAAGAAAGGGCTGGTGAAGTCAATCACTTGGCTGCGAGCTGTGTTGATGCTGAATGATGTTACTGCCATATGGGCTGTCCCAGCCAGAAGGTCACCCACAAGCCCTGTCCAGTGGTCATTTTTCCAGGCTCCATACTTCCCATCTCCAACAATGTACAAGTCAAAATCAAAGTTCATATCCTCAGCCAACTTCTCCAGCAGGTCGATGCAGTAGCCATAGCAGCATTTCTTGAACTCAATAGGCACAGTGTCATTGCCTCCTTGAAGGGTTTCAAAGAGGCTATCCAGGACAGCTGAATCATTGGTCAGAGGATCCAGGCAGAGCTGTCCTGCTGGGCATAACCCCTCATCATCCACATTTCTTGTGAAGACAAATGGGTGTTCAATGAGAGTAACCACTCTTAGGTGCAGCCTGGTAGGATGCTGGTTGTGGTTTTTATGTCTCTGGGCTTGCTCTGGCCATATTCCATAATCCATGATAATCTTTCCTTCTTGCCAGCTCCCCAGACGAGTCCACATTGGGTTCCCAATAGGATCGTGCTGCAGATTCCAAATGAAGAAATTGTTTTCTGAGCTTACAATGGAAGAACCTTTCACACTAATGTGGCCACTGAGACCATCAAAGGTTGTGTTGGCTAAAAACCTGTTGGGGGAAGAAAGGCAAGAAATCAAAGCCAAGCTTCCAGATAAATGAAGCCTTATTCTGCTAGAGTGAAACAGTGACTTTGTATGTAAGGTTTTGAACAAGGGCTCAGGAGTCTGGGTTCAGTTTTTTCTTTTCTGATTTTAGTATCTCACTCCTTCCATAAGTAAATTGGAGATTTAAAAAACCCTTTCTCTTATCGTTTATCTATTTAGATTGCAAATACTTCAAGAAGGAACAGTTTCTTAAGTGCAGCAGCTGTCCACCATTCTAACAGAAATAGCATTATTTTGTTTCTCTCATTTCCTCATTTTTATGACTTTTAAGCAATTCAATTAATCAATGTAAGGAAAACCCAGCATGACTGTAGTCCTTTTTTCCTAGGCTTAAAACAGTATGATGGAAACAACATCCCAAATATCCACCCAGGAAAAAGCCTATCTCAATAGATGAGCCCATCAGCTGTGACCTCCTGTGGCTGGTCAAAGACCACTAATTTGTTTCATGTTTCAGATATTTCACTGAACTGCTAGTAGAGGATGACAGCATTCAAGCAGTCAGAAGGGCTGGATTTGAGGTAACCTTGAGGAAAGAGTCAGTAACCTATTACTGACCAGCTGCGATTGAAAGAGAGGACTCGGTGAAAGAGATTCCCTTGAAACAATGAACTTTGCTGCTTGGTTTTCACAAAAATACCAGTGAAACCCGATGGTCTTAGTGAAAGAGTCAAAAGTCTTGTTTCTTAATAGAACACATTACACATGTCAGTATTGCATTGTTTTATCCTGAGTTTTTGGAGTTGTACTAATCTAAAAACCTAAAAGCAAAACTACCAAACAGACCAGGCATGGGAAATATAGCCAATACCTTTTTTTTCAAGTTCTCCTAACTAGAATTCAGCATTTTTATAGCTATTGTCCAAGACCCCAGAGTGACAAGAATGTGAAGTGTTTGTGTGGTAAAGGTCATACGAAGAAAAGGCCTTTGGGTGGGTGGGCCCTGGCACTTGCTGACTAGAGCCATTACAGTTGCCTGTAGTATTCTCCCTGTTAATGTGATTTTGCTGTGTGTTTGAACCAAATAAATTTTTTTAATCTTCTCATTTATACTGGTACTAATAGGAGTAACTCCACTGAAGTCAAATGAATTACGCTGCTATAAATGCGCTGTAAGATAAGAATCAGGCCCATAATTTTTCCTTAACAGGCATTCAGAGGAACATCTATTTAACATTTAGCTGGAGCAGCAGAAAATGCCATATCACATTAGTTCTGGGAATCTGGATGAAACAGATTATTGAAATAAACATAAACTCTGCAGCTGTCATAAAACAACACATTCTAACCTCAGCAGGCAAGACATAAACTTTAATGGTGTTAATCATTTATTGATATTTGAGAAAAGGAGCCCCTGAAATTTATTTGCATCTTTTCCAGAACAGTGAGCTACTGTTTTGCCTGATCCCCAATCTTTGTTCTGTCCCACTTGGAAGAGTCCATGAACAGTTCAATATCTTGCCAGCTCATAGTTTTAAGTCACTGAAATATGAAAGCCTTCTCACTATGGCAAGGAGGAGTTGCCAGATGAAGGCAAATCTATGAAATGAACAGTAAACTAAATGAAATTCTTTAATTTGTGATTTTCATAAACATTATTTGTATTTTATACTCAAACACTCTCAGTGGGAACTCAACCAAGACTCTATTTGTATAATCAATTTTTGAGCACCATTCTTTGGAAAAAGAGATGCACGAATAGACGCAAGCAAAATCTGTTTGTCCATTAAGATTTTACTTGTAAACTTTTATTTGCCTTAGTGTTTAGAGGTGGCCTAAAAATACACAGAGGGTGCGCCTACATTAAATGTTTACTGCAGAGTTGCCTAATTAGCTCTGCAGTAAATGTCTTGGTGTCTACAAATGCAGGGCTATTAGACTGGAGTAAGCTAATAAACTGTCTAGCAGGTTAGTACTTGTAGTGGGAACAAGTACTATCCTACGCTGGAGTGTTTTACTCCACAACAATGCACATGTAGATGCTGACAGGGCTGGTTGGGACACAAGAGTGCTTCAGTGCAGGGGCTGCCTGCTGGCTAACCCTACACTGAAACTCCCTTGTGGCCCAGCCAGCCCCTCTGTAGCATGTTGAACCAGGTCAGATCAGTCTGAGGCTGACAAACTGATCCCTTGGCCTCCCTGGTAGCCGGGGCTGCTCCAGCCTGGCTCTACATGCTGCAGTCCTGGGTGCACATGTAAACATGCACCTGGGAACAATAAACTCTGGCGCGATATGTGCCGGAGTTTATTGTATTGCACTAATATGCATGTGTAGATGTGCCCAGGTAGTTGTATATATAACATCATGAATGTATAAATGCAGACCCCATTTTGCAAATCTGCTTTGCTAATGGATACAAAAGTATTGTCATTATGCACTAGCAGAGTAACTATGGCACTGTAATATATAAATCAGTAACACGTTACTAGTCATTGCCTGTGTGCTTCACCACCATCTGTTCTTTCGATCCCAATTGTAATAATATAATAATACATTGAGCTTGCTCAATATTGACATATGTAACAAATTCAATGCATTAGGTATATAATTTGGTGGTACCTTAATCAGAAATGAGGGGAACCATATGTAAGTCATATTTTAACCATTTGTTGTATACATCAGATTCAATGGCCATTAATCATTCAGAGTTCTGTATACTGTACCAATGCAATGCAAAGTCAAGGGCTTTCAGGACAGTGAGAAGCTGCCCTACAAAATAACCTTTAGGAACAGCTTAAAAATGCAAGTGGTATAAGGCTGAATCTAATAACTTTTGGGAGGTTCAGAGCAAAGTCCATGAGAGGTGTAGTTGCTCAGTGCATCTCAGGCCTTGGTGCGTGAGTCCCATAAAGATCAGTTACAGTATATATGAATTGATCCCTATTGATCATATTAATGCATAAGTTACTCTCAGGCATGTATAAAGAGGGCATAGGTTACACCTGTTTCCAGAGATGTACAGTCAGATTCTCAGTGGGTGTAAATTAGCACTGATCCACTGAAATAAATGGAACATTGACCTATGCTAGCTGAGAATTTGATCCTAAATTGAGGCTGTAAAATCTGCAGTGAGGTTTGTCATTCTAATTTTAACAATGAGGTCAAACTTTGACATTTTTGCCTTCTGGTTTTATTATGATTTTAAATGTGCATTCTCAGGAGAATCAGTTATTAGAGTTTTCATGCCACTACTTTATGTTAGAAGAGTTATACTTGTGGGGTGGTAAAGGGATTTAATCAAATTAGTCTATTTTCCTTGACTTGATTACATGGTTGTTCCATATATTCTCATGTTCATGCCAAGTTCAGTAAGGAGCAAGAGGAAGAATGAACAGCAAGTTAAATCACAGACTGCTGAGATTGCTCAGAAACCACAAGCTATAATTTACAGTCTACATGAAGTTTTAAAATCCTAATGCCTTGTTTCTGTAACAAGGTGTTCACAACAGCTGAGATTTAATTCAGCAGAGACTTGCTTTCCCTATGAGGGGTCTCAATAATTTTTTTGAGGAAATTGAGTGTAGGGGGGAACTCCTGCACATTTGCTATTAGGTAAGGCCAGATCCTGATCTTTTTTACCCTAAATATCGAATCCTGCATCCTGCAAAGTGTGGGACTAGAAGGCCTTTGATATCTGTTTCAACCTTCCAGTTCTCTGATGCCATGAAAACACGCTGGCTAATATTAGATATCTAAGTTCTGCATTAAAACTCTAAGGTTGGAGGTTGGACACATACACAGTGGAAGTGCTGAGTGATGATAGGGAAGCTTGAGGTCCTGGATCTTCAGCTTTTTAAAGTTCTGTATAAATATAATTATTAGCTAGATCAGTGCTTCCCAACCAGCATGCTGTGAACCCCTTTTAAGGGTGTCAGAGTACTGCACAATATTATTATTGTTGAATGTGCAAACATCTACACATGATTCAGAAAATAAACCCAAAGATTTCAAATAGAAAGCCATAGTATCAAAAATAGTTGGACCTGGTGTAAGCTTTCTGAGTTCTTTGCACCTGAAGAATTACTCTATTATTTTTCTATAGTCAAGAAATGAGTAAAAGCTAAAAGATGACATTTTCTGAGGGCTGCCTTGAGTGTAAAGAGATTGAGAACCATTAAGTAAGAAAGAGAAGTGCGGGTGGAAGATGGGGAGGAGTGAAGAAAAATGCATGTGTGGGCTGGAACTCATGGTAGGCTTCGGGGCATACATAGAAATGCATTAGGTAAACTGGAACATTGCTAGTAGTGGCAACAATGAATTGTTGGAGCAGGTATAGATTAAGATTAAAGCCGTAATCCATTAAAGTGATCCATATGGGCATATTGTTGCACCTCTGTAGAATCTCACAGACTTTTCTGGGGTTTTGTCCAAGCACAGCAGTTTGTCAGTTTGTCACAATGCAGGATCAGGACCTAAGGGCATTCATACACATACATTTGTCTGCTCCGATGCACCAGAAATCCAGTACGTTAGATGTGAGCTGATGTGCCCGGTGCTGCATTGTGTGCATTTGTATAGAATCAGGAAAAAGAAACCTGGTAGTGAGGGAAATGAGTCATAATCAGAGTTGGAGAGCAGTTTCCCACCATTAATGTCCCTGGGCCTCAGCCTAGAATCGAGATTGGGAGGCAAGAAATAGCACGGAGGCAAAAAAAATGAAAACTTTTCTGAATGCAAAGGCAATTCTGCGTCTTGCAGAAGCTACAGGCATCCAAGTGGGGTGGAGTGTGGGGGGTGGGGAATGTGGCAGAAAGCCACCTTGGTTTCTCCCCAAAAATCTCTGCCCTGTGACACTGTGATTTAAATCTCTGTGCTGTGACCATTCAGTTAGGATGGGCCCAGCACACAGGGGACCACACCCTCAGCCTGTCTCTTTAGGGAACTGGAGCTGGCTGCATTCCTGAGGGAGGGGGAAACCTGCTCCCTCTGCCTACGTGACTTGC